TACATAACTCAGTCTCTACTCTTGAGTTTGAAAAGTCAGTGCTCTCACTGCCATCCCTTATTTCTCTTCTCTTATAGGCTTCTGCACAGGGTACATGAACAATCAAAGTGTAAAGGTATTGGGTCCCAGCTTGTTGCTTGTAGTATCGTGTTAGTATTTTGAATACGCTGAAACTGGTTCCATTCATTGCTGACATTTTAGTGAGAGTAGGTGGATCTGGTCAGTGTCTGTTTTCCTACTGACACTTAACAAATGTTTCTTGGCATCATAGTTGTAGATTAGGTAGCAATACATTTCTTGGGGATCTTCAAGCTCACCTTGACCTATCCCAAGCATGAGTAGGCTTAGTTAATCAGTCCACCAAGTCCAAGCTCCTTCATAGGTTGTAAAGGTACTTTCTTTCTTTTTTTTTTTTATAAAGGTACTTTCTTAAAAAAATAGAATGATTAAAATACGATAGTAATTTGAGATCCTCTATCAAGGATAGCATTGTCTGAATTATCTATCTTCACCATCACCTGAGCATAGAGTCTTATGAGTTCAGGTGGAATAGGCCCAAAAGGAATTGATAAGAAAGTCTTGGGGCCTGAGGCAATCTCCTTCCCTGGACCCTATCTTCTTTTACCAATGTTTGTTCCAGCCTCTGGAGGACTAGTGCTGCATTTTTTTTCCACTAGTGCATTCAACATATGTATTGCTACCTAATCTACAACTATAACAGAAGATTAGTCTTCTTCTCTGGTTTATATTCTAGTGGAGGTGTTCTTATATCTAGCCTCCATAGCCTACATTCTCTTGGTCTTTTACCTCTCTAAGGAAAAAAAGTTTTATCCACTGTCCTATCTCTTGCCTAATCCTCTGTACCGGGGCAGCTACATGGTGCAATGCATAGAGTACCAGGCCTGGAATCAGGAAAATAAGTCTTCCTGAGTTCAAATCTGGCCTCAGACACTTACTAGCTATGTGACCCTGAGCGAGTCACTTAACCCTGTTTGCCTCAGTTTCCTCATCTGTCAAATGAGCTGGAGAAGGAAATGGCAAACCACTCCAGCATCTTTGCCAAAAAAACCCCAGACGGGGTCACGAAAGGTCAGATACAACTGAAACAACTGAATAACAACAAATCCTCTGTGGTCTTCTGCCTTCAAATCTGCATCTGCAGGGTTTATATTGTTATTGTTTGTCCTTCATTTACAAAGAGGACCAATGACATCACAGGGTGAAGTCTTGACTCATGTGTGAATTAGATTTAAGTGAGGCAGAGTTGCACAAAGTCATCAGCCTCTCTCCTCCAGAGTCATTGAAATCCAGCGGCAGAACCAAAGTCTAGGTCCCTGGCTTTGTTTCCATGGCCCACCCTGGAGCAGTAGAGGTTGAGTCCTTCTTTGCAGAGGTACTACGCTTCTCTGTCCCTTAGTATTTGCCACACCTCAGTTGATTTTGGTCACAATAGCCAACTCAAGATCAGTGATGTAAAGATCACTGTGATTTTTACTGTGATATGAAAACAGAAGAATGGACACACAGAAAGCACAGCTGGATCAGGGGCTTATCTTAAAACCTCCAGTGCTGCTCTACCCACAGTTACATCTGCCCCCAAGTGTCTGTCTTCTGTTAGTCTTGAGCTTCAGGATGGTGTATTTAAGTTAACATTATTCATATTTTTGGATATCTTAAACATGGAACAATCTCTCGAAAATATGGGTGCTCTATTGGTTGAAAAGTATTTTGGTGTAATAGATGTTGAAATGCACAGAGGTCTCTTGATATTAAGTGCAGACATAGAGCATAAGTCTGATGACATAAAACATTGAAAAGAAATGTAAAAGACTTGGAGGATTGCAAAAAAAAATAAATTAAACCAGGGGAGACCACTCAGAAAGAATCTGATCATTCAAATTATCTCTTAGGAGATAGTACCTGGGAATTAATGTGTGTCTTTCTCTCTGAGGAAGAGGAGCCATTTTAAAAAGTAGAAGCTCTTACGAAAAAAGAAAGCACACTCACAGAGAGCCATGCTTAACTCTAAGAAAGACACTTTCCCTGTAGGCAAGAGTAGGTAATGTTAACTTAAACAGTAAACATGAAAAATTGCACAATAGCAAGGCTGTTGTACTCCAAATCTGCCTATTCTGTTATACCCCTGGGAATGCCTGCTCTATAATTAACAAATTTCCTTTTTGCCTTTTTTTCTTTTTCAGTTTAGTTTTTTAATTAACAAAAAATATTTTCTCTTTTCTACTTCTCTACCCTTTAAAACCAAACCAGACCTTTGTAACAAATATGCATAGTTAAGCAAAACTAATTTCTGTATTGTACTGGAACCCCCAGATGTAAGAAATGTTTATTGGTTCCCATTTACAGGGTTTTTTTCCCTTTGAAGCAGATTTAAGGGGTATGTGCCCCACATGCAGCAGAGTCATCCCTTGGAGGTAGTGGTTTTGTCCCATGATTGGCTGGCTTTTGCCTCTTATATCAGTTAAGGCTAGGGATAGTTCATAGGGGAGCCAAGAGATCAGGTACCCTGCTTGACTTTGCCTATACACTTCTTCCCCCGGTGGTAGGAACCAGCAATATGGAGGGCAAATTCTTCTCTTCTGGTTTTTCTCTCCTAGTTGTATTCCAAAACAGACCAAAAAAGCTAAGTTCAAAGAAGATATCTAGAGTATACTTGAGTTTCCTGTTTCCATAGTAATTCCATAATAATCCAAGCACAATTGTATTACATAATAATACATACAATATAATATCTATGAGGTCAGATGTTCCTCCTTGCATTAGAACCTCTGTTCTTGTTTGCTGCATTAACTTTGTGCATTTATTTATGAACACTGGAATTCATGGGTTCTTTTTTTTCTGTTTTTTTTTTCCTGTCCTTTGAACATCAATAAATCTCAACTGCTATCTTTTCATTGCAACTAATCTCTAAAGTATGTAGTTTTGTTGATGTATACAGGCAGTTTTCTTTCCCTCTTTTTCAGTTTAAAGTTCTTTTGACAGATTTAAAAGACATCAAGCAAATATATTCTTACCTCCTTTTGTTAGGCATACTCCATTCTCAGAAGACTGTCCTTGTTATATTTTAACCTATGCTCCAGAAATCCAGAAATTAGCTTTCTTGAAAATAACAGAGAATGAGATAGATGCCATAAGAATTTTCAAGTAAAGAGAGAAAATGGAGTCCCCCAAGTATAAACCAGTGAGCTTGATTTCAACTATTGGCAAAATTCTTAACTGTATTATCAAAGGGATAGTTAGTGAACACCTAGAAAAAGGCTATACAAAGAAGCAGCATAGCATCATCAAGAATAGTTTATGTTAGGCTAACCCTTTTATTTTCCTTTTTTAAAAAAGAGTATTACTAAACTGATAAAACAGTAATGCTATAGGTAAAATTTACCTAGATTTTAGCAAAGCTTATGACAAAGCCTCTCGTGCTATTCTTGTGGGGAAAGATGAAAAATTGTGGGCTAGGCAATAGCAAAATTAGGGTGATTCAGAATATAAAATCTTAGTTTAAGAAAATTAACTTCATAAATTCAAGATGAAGGCATGATTAAATAGAAATTTGCCTGAAAAATATCTTAATTTGGTTTTAGTATGTCAAAAGTTCAGTGTGAGCCAGCAGTATGAATGTTCTTTCAAAGAGGACCAAAGACATCACAAGAGTGATGTCCTGACATGTAAGTGAATTGGATTTAAGTGAGGCAAAGCTTCAACAAAGTTGTCAGCCTCACTTTCTCCTCCAGAGTCATCAAAGCCTAAAGTCAAGATGATTGGTAATGGCCCAGGATGCAGTAGATGAACTTGGCCTTTCTAAATTAAGGTCTTTTCCCAGGCCCCAGTTTAAATTTGAAGTGATATCTTAAACTGTTTTCCAGTAGGTAGAGCATCCTAGAATGAATAGGTAATAGTCCTGCTATATGCTAACATGGCTATGTCTGGAGTATTATTCAATTCTGGGCACTGCATTTTAGAAAGAACATTGACAAACTGAAAAGTATTCAGAGAAGGGCAACCAAAGTGCTATTGGGCTATAAGTTCATTCCATATGAGCATTGGTTGAAGGAACTAAGGGCTCTAAATAAGAGAAGACTTAGGGGGGACATAATAGCTAATTCAATTTTTTGAAGGGCTGTCAGGTGCAAAAGATATTAGTTTTGTTCTGTTCTGGCCCTGGGATGGGGGCAAGAGGGGACAGATGGAATCAGGAATTATGGACAGAAGTTCCAAAGAGGCAAATTTGAGCTTGATGTGGGAAACATTTTCTAACATTTATAGCTAATCAGAAGTGGAATGTGCTATCTTGAAAGGTCATAAATTTTGAAGACTTCATTGGAGGTCTTCACACAAAGGCTGGATGACCACTTGTTGGGCATGTTATAATTCTTTTTCAAGTATAGATTCGACTAGATGGCCACAGAGGACCATTCCAATTTTGAAATTCTGTGATCCTGTCTGAAAAATATCGATCAGTAGTTGGAAAAGTAACTTTTTTTCCACTTTATTTCTCCTGATAATCACCTACATCTAGACACATGGAGCTATACAAAAGAGAAACTGATGGAACAATAACTTGGGAATTTATCTTTAAGGGCAATAAATCATATTTGCATAGTTGAATAAAAGTTCTTTGACTCATAATTTGAGAACTGGAAAGATACTTCAAGATGTCATTTGCTTCATTCTCCTAGCTTCATGTAGTCACCATCTATATCAGTTTAAAACTTTTTTTTTTTGCAAATCCTGTTGATATATCCAAAGAGATCAAAAAGGAGGAAAGGTGGTCAAAATTACAAGTCCTTGAAGAATAAGCTAACAGTTATAAAATTATTGAATGAAAGTTGCTTATTGACTAAGAAGACAATATTTTAAATAATATAATACATTAATTTAAATTAGATATCTAACAAAAATAACCGGCTAATTGAAGCAATAGCTTAATCATTGCTACTGAAAGATGTTAGAATTTGAATTTGTTTTCCTTTTAATTTTTACAGGGATTTATCCTGCAATAAAATCCATGTTATTGAGAGGCAAGCATTTGAACCCTTACCTTTTTTGCAATTTTTGTAAGTTACAAATATTTATTTTATATTGAAAATGTTCCCATGTAATATGATTCTAGAATCTTTGGTATTCATTTTTAAAGAGAATTAAAATTTTGTTAGTGGAAAACTGGTAGACTACTAAAAAATCTATAATAAAAATGTAGACTGGAGAAATTACATTAGAAAAACAAAGATCACAATTATTTTTGTTAATAAATAATCAACAATAATTTAGTTAGTGCTTTCATTCATTCAATAAGAATTTATTAAGTGGCTACTGTGTACCAAGCACTATGTTGGGAACTTGGGATAATTCAAAGACAAAAATGAAATGTTTCAGCCTCAAGGAGTTTACATTTGATTGGGAAGAAACAATATGAATATAAGTAAATGCAAAATATATACAAATATATTTTCTGCAGTGGGGAGAACACTAGCAACTGGGAAGATCAGGATAGGACTCTCTCTAGTGGGAAATGGTACTTGAAACAAGCCTTCAAGGAAGGTAGGATTTCCATCTGGCAGAGGAAGGAGTTCATTCTATGTCTAACACTAAAGTATGTGTGTGAATATGAAAATACAAATCATATAATTTTAGAACTGGAAGTGACCTTTGGACCTTATCCAGCCCACTCTATTCCTTCCCTTTATTTTGGAGCTGAGAAAAGATGGTCCCGAAGAGACTGTCATCTATTTCAGTGGCTTCTTGGTAAAGTAAAATGAGTTTACCAAAAAAGTGAAATGACTTGCACTATTTACACATCTAGTTAATTGTAGAGTTAAGATTATTATAAACGAATAATACCTTATACAGTAGCATGTGCCTACTGGGTGCTAATTAAATATTACATCAACTAAATTAATGTTATGGAGTAGTAGATAAATGTTTTGCTACACTCACATATGAATTCGGACACCAATAAATGCACTGAAAAAAGATATTTTTGCTTTTATCTTTTTATAGAAACCTTAGTTGCAATTCACTCAAAAAACTCAGTTATGGAACATTTCAAGCCTGGCATGGAATGCAGTTTTTGCAGAAGTTGTAAGTGTAATAAAATCGATATGTAAAAATTATTTACTATATTTTGCACCTTTGTTAATTAGTTAGTTATGTTTTAATCCAGCACTTCTTAAACTATGAGTCGAGAGCTCCCATGGGGTCGTGTAACTGAACGGGGGGTTGCAAAAAATGTAGCAACAGTAAGAGGTTTCTGAATGCACAATGTCGAAAAACTAACTCAAAATCAAAAGCATAATGAATTTGAAGTGTTTCTGGCAGCACTTGCCCATGTTGCATCGCGTGCACATGGCTTCACTGCAGCCTTGGTTCTGAACACACAACATGCTCGCTTTGTACTGCGCACACCATCAAGTGACACAACGCCAACACACGTTGCCAGAAACACCTCGACTCGTATACAATACTGTTGTCTTTAATAAATGGTCAAATTATATGTCTGCTAAATAATTGTTTTAAAATAAATTTCTTTATGATTTATTATCAGTAAATATTTGATTTGTATACCTATTTTATATACTTCCATACCTGGGGTTGCATAAAAATTTCTTGGGTGAAAAGGGGTCGTAAGTGGAAAAAGTTTAAGAGGCACTATCAAGAACCTTGGGAGGTAGACTGTCATGATGTACATTTTACAGATGAGGAAACTAAGGTACAAAGAGGCTAATAGACTTGCCCAATTCATAAATTTAAATCTCCATTAGTATAAAACATTAATACCCACCTTAGCTTAGGACCAGCCTTTGGAATTGATGAACCAATCTTCCCATGCTGATCATAGCATTGTAGTAATGATCAAGTTTTTGCTTTTTTGAAACACATTTGTGGTATTTTAGGAGTTCAACTTTTGATTCTATGACACCAGATCGGGTTAGAAAGAGTTGAGGTGGGCTTCAGAGAATCTGAACGTTTTGTATGGCACATTTTTGCATCTCATTATTTGGTCCAATGCAAAATCCGAAGCTATTTGTATGCAAATATGTTTGAAAAATACAAAGCTTGCTAAGCATACGCGAAATGCTTGACTGAAATGATGGCCACATGCTCTACCATCTTAATCAGCTATTAAGATTCTGCTGTACTGAGAAAAAAGGAGGTAAAAAAAAACTTTACGTGGTGTATGTGGATTATATTTCTCTGTTGTTAAGATACTACATCTTCTTCACACTCTACCAAGAAGCTGTTTATGTCTTCAAAACTTGCCTTACCCAGTATCACAGATAATTCTGAGTCTGTAATCTGAGTCTATTTGTAATATCTTCACAGTGGTTATTTGATCACATTCAGTAAGTACTCAGTAACAGGAGGGGAACTCTACTGTACGTCTGTTGTCTCTCCCTTCATTTTATAAAGAATTTCCAAAATGGAAAAAGAGCAAATTTGCCAAACTGCAATGGCAAGGATTAGGACTAGCTATGGTGGAGAGAAAAAAATCTTGATTCTTGGACTTTTGTGGTCTAAAGAAAGCTAAATCCCTAGCTAATGTCAGTTATCTGCAAAGGATTAGTAAAATCAAATTAGTAAATTAAATTAGTAAAATCAAATGAGACTTGACAGATGGAGTGATCCTTACTTTGGCTTGCAGCCAAAACAATAGACACAAATTTACCTCATGTGGTTTCATTTACTATAGTGAAATCAAGGGTTATATTGCTTCTTTTTCCTCAGATGAACCTCCAAGGGAGGCTGTATTGAGCCTAAATTTCTCACACAGGTTAGCACCATGAGAGATTTCCTTGAAAGGTAGAAGAATGTGATCTTCTTAATATTTTAAAAGGGCAATAATCAGGCATTAAGTAATTATTATCCAGTATCATGAATGTATCACCTGGCATGAGTGAATAGAAAATGTCATCTTAAGTTAGAATTACATAAGCCAAGAGACCATCTTGGTAGGCATCTTGATAGATGCCTGAAACCCAAATCAAATATATGTCAAGTATATACAGTGTCCCAAAATCCTTAGTGCCATTTTAAGCTTTAATAGCTTAGTAAATTAGTAAAATACCATTCTTTTAATGGTAGCCATAATCATATATCTTTCCACTGAAGTCAGGACTGAAATATGATATGGAAAACCATAGTAATTGTTATTCCTTAATATTGAGTATATTTTTTTCCTGGCTTTAAAGTACTTCTTCATTAACCAACACAGGTCCAGGCTGATGACATTTTTTAATTTTTCAGTTAATGTAGTGATTCTTAGAAGAGTGATCTTCATGGTCATAAAAACTAACGTCTGATACTTTGAAAATATATACATGCATAGTAACTACTTGCTTTTATATAATACTTTATAATTCTCGGCGTCCTTTCAAATTATTTGTCCCATTTAATCCTTGAGATGACCCTGTGAGGTATCTAGTGTAGGTATTATTTTTCCCATTTCTCTGATGAGGAAGCTAAGGCTCAGAAAAATTAAGGACTACTCTCATGGGTAATATAGGTCAGAGCTGGGGTCTTGACCCATTCTTTCTGATTTAGTCTAGTGTTCTTTTCACTACTCCACCTTGCTTTGCAAACAGCCAGGTTCCATGCTGTTTCTCTATGGCACCCTAATCCCTGAGCATTGAAAATGAGAGAAAATTCAAAACGTTCTCATTTAATTTTTTTGTCTCTTTCTATTAAGATTGCCAGTCCAACAGTTGTGGCCACTTTGTGAAAGTGATAATTTAGACTCTTATTGATATCATCTTGTCCTCTTAGTTCTCTGACGATGATATATGGACAGAAGGATGTGTGTGTGTCTGTGTGTGTGTGTGTCTGTCTGTGTGGGTGAAGGGACTTCCATAATGCAAGACTTCATAATGTATAGACATAAAAGATAGTCTTTTAATTTTGGATTGTAACTACTATTCAAGAAGCCTAATGATTATGACTGCCTCTTAACCTCAGTCTGCCTTAAGGCAGCAGCTGAAAGATTTTCCCTTTCTTCTCTTCTGATTGCCAGGCAATAGGCTGGCCCACCTGCTACTTTTTTTTCCAGCAGCCCATGACTATGCTGGGTAATACTAATAATACATTATAGTTGGATAGTGTTTTTAAAGTTTTAAAATATTTTGCAATGCTTTACCGTCTTTCTCATTTGACATTGCTTGAAGCTGTGTCTCTACAATCTAGATTAAGACAAACAGTTTATTTGACAAAGCCACTAGCCAGGCATCAAATGATTCTAATTTATTGTTTTTGCCAAACTGAGCTGCATTTGGGTTGATTCTCCAACCCCAGTGCAATCTACCTGCTATCAGTTTCCTCTTGAATAGCAGTAGAAACACATAAGGGTTAAAAACTTTAGAAGTAATGAAATCACTTTTTGTTATGAAATGGAATCCTGGCAACTTCTGCCAATATACAGTAAAATATGAACATTACAAATGAATGACCAAGGTCTAGTCTATCCCTTGGTAAAGTGTAGGATACCTTAAAAACCTTATTTTGTTTCATTTGTAATGACTTGGAAGCCCCAGTGTTGCCAATACCTGGTGATTATTCCAGGTAACTAAAATTTGCTAACAAATATTAATGTTAGGAAAGATTCTCATTTTCTTCCTCAGTTGCATTTCATTCTTCAACTTCTTTAACCTGACAGCTTTAAAAAAAAGTCTTTGTAGTCTTTTGTGGTCTGTCTCCTGACCACCATATTTAATACAACTTTTAGGACTTAATTTTATCCGTCCGTGTAATGGGCTTGATGGTCCTTCTGAATCTGTGAAAACTACACACACAATTTGAAATGACAATATACCTGGGCCATTACAAATTAGCCCAAAATTTTTAACGCAGTTTTGCAAGCTATTTCCCATGCAGCTTCTTTATACATTCCTTTGTTACAGTGTCCAAATACCATTGGCATTTCAGCTTTTTTAACCTTTTCTTTACCCTCATGTTATTTGGATACTTAGGAATTAGTTCTTAGCTGGGAACAAAGACTCCTGGAGATGATTTGAGTACAATCACAAGTAGCCCAAAGCTATTAAATTTCAAAGCCATACGATCATTGTACATTCCAAGTTTCTGTTCATTGATCAGGAACCATTTAAAAAAAAACATTAAAAATTTTTTAAAAATCAACCAATTTGTTTCAACAAGAAGGCTTTTCCAGGGTTCTTTCCAGGGAAGTAATTAAAATGTAGGATAATCATTCCAGATTCAATAATCTCTTTTTCTGAGAAAAGGCTTACAACAGTGCAATCATATCTTAGAATGTTATCTTGTGTGAGAAGCTATGCAGACAAAAAAAAGGGAAAAGGTTAATTTCTTCTGATACTTTTGGACATACTTGAGCTATGTTGAGATCATTCTGTTTCTTTCTTTGACCACCTGTCTCCGATTTTTTCTGCCCCTTAAATGTTAGTATAGATAGTTTGGGGTTTTGTCCTATTTAAAACTGATTTTTCACGGCCTGCTTTGGACATTTTTTCAGCTGAAGCTGTCAGGATTTCAGTATATGCAGGACAGTGGTGACATGCTTCAGTCCTCAATTCTTTTCTGTCTGCTCAGTTAATAGAGAGGAAACGTAGCCCATCAGTCTGGACCTGTGTAGAAGGATTTGGAGAAAAAAAATAGCAGGTAAGAAATGTTCCCTTATTTTGTGAGCTGCCTCACTTAATTTCCCCCATATTATGCAGTAGAAGACATAAAGAAAAACAAAAATTAGTTGTCCCAGGCTAAAAAAAAATACTTAAAAATAATTTAGGAGAGAATTTCTTCATCTTTGAAAATCTAGAACATCCTTTATGTTTGGATTAAAATGTATGATACATGTCACTCTCACAAAGATACAGCTGGGATCTAGTAGAAAGAGCATGGAACTGATCTGTGTGACTTGGCTAAGTCACCTGACTTCTTTAGACCTCAGTTTCCTCATCGGTAAAATGAGGGGGTCAGTACAGATATTCTCTAAAATTCTTTCCAGTTTTAAGAGTCTATTATTCTTTGATTTTAAACTCAGCACTCAATTGCTTTTGGGTTCCAGAAGACAGCAGCAGTTAGAGTCTAGGCAGCTAGGCTGCATAGGTAGTTCCCAGTGTGGGCAGCCCATTCTCCCTTTTGCCTAGCTTAAATCTTGGCAAAGGGAAGAATATGCAAGAGTCAGTGGTGAAAACATTAGGAAATATGGAATGGGCCCATATTCTGTTCTTCAGTTTTTGGTTTTTGTCTTTTGCTAAATTCTTCAAACAATTAACATTTAGGTATAATGAACAGTATTTGATTTTTTAAAATTCAATTTTGATTTCAGTTCCTAATTTTCTTCTTCCTTCCTCCCCCTCCTGCACCCATTGATAAAGCAAGAAAACCAAATTCATAACAAATATGTATGGTAATGCAAAATAAATTCCTTCATTAGTCATGTAAAAGAAAAAGAGAAGAAAATATGCATCAATCTGCACTCTTGAGTCTATTGGCTCTCTTATCTGGAGGTGGATATGTTGCATATTTCATCATGAGTACTTTGGAATTGTGGATGGTCATTGTGTTGATCACAGTTCCTAAGTCTTTGGAAGTTGATTATCTTTACGATATTGTTACTGTATAGAGTATCAGTACATACAAGTCTTCCCTGAAACCATTCCTTTCATCATTTCTTACAGCATTATAGCTTTCCATCACATTCAAATACCACAATTGTTCAGCCATTCCCTAATCGATGGGCATCTCCTCAGATTCCAGTTCTTTGCCACAACAAAAAGAACTGCTATAGATATTTTGGTACATATGGGTCTTTTTCCTCTTTCTTTGATCTGTTTGGAGGATAGATCTAGTAGCAATATTACTGAGTCAAAGAACATACAAAGTTTCATAACTTTTTGAGCACGGTACCAAATTGCTTTATAGACTAGTTCACAACTCCACCAACAGTGCATTAGCTTACCTGTTCATAACTCTACCAACAATGCATTAGTGTTCACACAATACACACACACACACACACACACACACAGACAGAGCATTTGTCATCTTTTTTGTCAATTTAGCCAATCTACTAGGGGTTGGTACCTTAGAATTGTTTTAATTTAATGAGTAGCATTTGATAAATGTATTTAGTAAAGATAACCTTTGCTTCCTAGAGGTTGAATTGCCCTACCTCTAGTTCTAGTAACTTTTCAGACTTTCTCAGGCAACGATTCCCAAGGTCAGAGTAGATCAGAAACATCTTCTGGATCCCTCATTTGTCCCTGAGTTCTCCCTTCCCAGGAAGCTCTCCCAGAGCTGGTTGGTCCCAGGCTTCTCTGTAGGCATAGCAAATGTGATAATAACCCACTTTTTTATCCATTCTACATATCCTACCCAAAGCAGTCCATTTGCATGCTCTCGGATTCAGGCCTGAAGTCCTACAGCCAGTTACATTTATTAATAGCCTCGGTAAAAATCATCAAATTTTGTTAATCAAATATACAGACAATGTTCAATTAGAGGGAGTTGTTAATACTGTACTCTGGACTACAGGACAGTTTGGCAAACTAGAAAAGTCTTACCCAAAAGGAATGAAGTTTACCAGGAAAAAAGTGCAAGGCGTCACCCTTAGAAACCCAGCTCCCTAACAAAGAAGTGGAGATCCTGCTGCATCTGGAGTTTGAAGACCTGGATTCAGATCCTTGTTCCCATCCCTTGCCAGGCTGCTTGACCTTGGGTAACACTTAACCTCCCTGGACTTTCCTTTCCTCATCTGTAAAATGAGAGGGTTGCACTAAATGGCTTCTAAGGTCCCTTTAAATCCCATCATCTCAATGTGAAGTGGAAGAAAAACTAGTTAAGAAGGAAGAACGTGCTGGTAGCATAGGGTAGGCAGAAGATGAAGTACCTCGGAGGGTGGTGGTTGTGCAGTTAACAGAGTGTGAGGAGGAGCAACAAACAAATCTTGAAGCCTGGGCTGGAAGTGGTTATGGGGAAGGACCAAGAAGATAGAGGAAACTGGCTAACAACACCTTGTACGGAAGCCAAAGATAGTCCTGAAGGACTTGCTGCCACTGAAAACATATTTAGAGCAGAAACTGCTTTGACAAGTATGCGGCAAGATGATGCTCTTTCCTCAGGTAGCATAACAAAATCAAGAATCTAGATTTTCAAAAGTTAACAATGTTATAAGAAGCAAAAGTAATTCTCTTTAGATCTCTGGATGAGTGTACCCAGAAAAGGCATAGTAGGTGGATGGAAACATTACAAGATAGCCCCCACTCCCCACCCCCACCCCCATGACATGCTTGAACTTTGGGCAAGTAGCTTTACCTATGTGTATAGTTTCTCATTTACAAGGCTTAATTCTCCAGTGATTAATTAGCATTCTATATTCTTATAGGACTATAGTCATTTTTCTTAAATCTATAAATGATCATGGATAAAAATTTGATAATAGGAGATAATTATGGGAAAGAAAAATGAAGACAGCAAATGAAATAGATCACAGGATACCCCAAATGGGTGGGTGACTTTATGAAAACCAGTTAATTCTGAATCATGGTATTCTCAGAATTAAAGTTACCACCTACACCCCATTGTTATGATGTTTTCCATAAGGGAATTTATAATGGTTTTACCTCTTGAATAATATCAAAAACAGGGGGGGGGTTTTGGGGGGGAGCTTTTTTTTAGGAAACAAAATTGTCCCAGCCTGTAAGATGCAGCTTATATTCTCCTGGAGTTAATCAATGGATAATAGTAAAATTCTTTAAAGATAAAAATAAATGTATCTCTGTGCTCTGAAGGAAAAAGAGTATATTTCTTGTTGGGCTGTCAGCAAACTGTTTTCCTACTTTAGCACCTGTAGCTCATTCTCAACTTTTTTTTCCCTTTTTTGAAGTTGACTTGTTTTCTTCAGTGTCTTGGCTACAAGATGTTCCAGCTAGAAATTCTAAGCTTCATGCAACAACCTCTTTAAAACAATGAACAAAGACACTCCTAGTGCCTTCGGGCTTCGGGCTCCTCTGCGTTTTCTTTGGTACTAGACTATAGGTCTCTGTGGGTGATCATATTCTAACTCATAGTAAACATTCTCTATACCTCCTGATTTTACTTTCTGAAGCCTGAGCTTTTCCTTGGTTATTATTCACGTAATTGCCCAAAAATCATGAGTCATTAGCTTTCCTTTTTTCCATTTTTTTTCAATTTTGGAATTCAGGGCTCCCCAGTTTTCAACTCTAAACCTCTTCTTTTCTCCCATGGAGATTAGTGGGCAAGGAAAAGTCACAAAGACAAAGCTAACCCAGGGCGTAAGGTTTTAGTCTTTTGTGCCAGCCTACATCTGTTCATGGCCTTTCATATGTAGATACAAATTGCAAAATCTGAAAAGGCTTTGAGTTTACCCTTATATAATTTTCTATAACCTATTTTTTTCCTATGGCATGGGCTTTCCAGCATCCAGCTTCTTCACATTGCTTTATAGAATGGCTGGACTAGTTCACAACTCCACCAACAGTGAGTGCATTAGCTTACCTGTTCATAACTCTACCAACAATGCATTAGTGTTCACACAATACACACACACACACACACACACACACACACACACACACACACACAGAGCATTTGTCATCTTTTTTGTCAATTTAGCCAATCTACTAGGGGTTGGTACCTTAGAATTGTTTTAATTTAATGAGTTGCCAGTTTAATCATTCTCCACATCCTTTACTTTCTTCCTTTCTCCTTTTTCTCTTCTGTTTCTCTTCAACATCTTCTAAAGACTAAGATGGCTCCTAGAGGCTTGTTGAAAAGGGCAAAAAACGGGCAGCGAGATGGTGCAGAGGGTAGAGTACCGGCCCTGGAGTCAGAAGAACCTGAGTTCAAATCCAGCCTCAGACAGATGATCCTCACTAGCTGTGTGACTCTGGGCAAGTCACTTTACCCCACTTGCCTTGTAGGAAAAAAAAAAAGGGCAAAAAAGTAATAGTGAGATTTCTTGTGAATAGAGAACATTCTCATTCAGGCAGCCATGGTAGTGCTGTACTGCACCTCCCTGAATGGGCTTAATTAATCTAACATTGTAGTAATAGTATTGAAATTGTTTGTTTTTTTTTTTTATTTTTTCAGAATGCTCAGTCATAACCCTTTGTCAGCCATCGAAGACAAGTTTTTTTTCCAATTGCCATCATTGAAATATTTGTAAGTATTGAATAGGACATAAACTCATGAATCACCTTTGCCTTGGATTCTACTATTCTTTGCTTCATAAAAGCACCAAAACTAATTTATCCTGTACATAAGCTAAGAAGTCAAAACCTTGTAAAATTTTAACTAGGCATTCAATAATGCTCTTATTAAAGATATTAAAAAAGAGTAGCTTTTAGAGGGGAAACAGCTATCAGTCAACATTCATTTATTAGGCACTTGCTGTCTTCCAGGCACTATGCCAGGCACTGTGGATACAAAGATAAAAGTGAATTAGTTTCTGCTTTCAAGAAGTATGCATAAACACAAAAGACAACCTGACATGTATAGTGAATACAAAACGGATATAAAGGAATGCTGTGGAAGGGTTGGGGAAATGCAACATGAGCAGCTGAGTCCCGCAGGCCTCATACAGGCTCATAGTGGTGGCTGAGCTTGGAGAGGTGGAGGTGAGAATACATGCCAGACATGGGTGAAAGTCTATACAAAGGCACTGAGAAAGGACCATGTACAGGCTAGAGTATAGAACATGTAGAAAGGAGTTATGAGTAATAAGTCTAGGAGAAGAGCATGGGGCCAGGTTATGAAGTGGGCTTTAAATGTTGAACAGACAAGTTTATTTTTGAACCTAGAGGTATTAGGGAGCCTTTGGTATTCATTAAAGGAGAGAGGAGGCATCACATGGTCAGACATGATACTTTAGGAAAATTATGTGGCTACGTGAAGGATGGGTAGGAATGGAGAAAGACTTGAGTCCAGGCAGGAAGTGATGAGGATTTAAACTAGAGTAGTGGCTATATAAGTGGAGATATATGGAGGGATGTGGAGATAGAACCATTTGACTTGGCAACTCAGTGGATGTGGGAGGTGAGGGAGAGGAAGGAGATGAAGTTGCAAATGTCAGCAACTGGAAGGATGGTCATGAAGAAATCAGTGCTAAAGAATATGTTGAGACATAGGAATGGAAAGGAAACCAAGTGGATGGAGAAACTGTCATTATAACGGGGAAGAAGTTTAGATTCTAAAAATAATACCCCTCATCATAGCAAAGAGGAAAATTATAGGGAATGAGAAATTTGAGGCATTTGCAGGTTGCTTTAATTATGGCCAGGCTATTCATATGTAATTTCAAGGTAAAGGTGTAAATATTTATATATTTTTTAAACTTAAAGTTATTTTGGTTAACTTCTGTCTCCTCAATACTACAGCCTACAGGCTATGTCTAGGAGTATCTTTTCCAGAAAATAAACTCTTGAATCTGCTTAAAATATCAGCAATTGAGACAATGACATTTTCTACAGTATCTTACAAAAAGTACAGAATTTCCATATTTAGATTTGTAGTTTTGTTTTTCTTCTAGGGATATAGGTAGAACAGAAGTACCACTTGTGGCTGTCAAGAATATCCTGATGATGGCCCTCAGACTACAAACACTGTAAGTATTACATGAATTTTATTTTTCATTAGGCATTTCTTTAAAATATTTCATTAGGACACTGTTAGGACATAGCTTATTATTACACAGATTCAGATATATTATGCAGTAAATTGTGGTCAAAAAACAATAACTAAAATTAGTCGAAATTTGATATGATGCCCTGTCTTTCAACATCAGTATGAATTCTACTGTACATAGTATCTGATACAATATATTTACAAAGTGACAGGATCAGAAACTTTTAAGACTGAGAAATGGGGTCCCAGAAGATTTTAATTTACTTAAGATCACAAAACAGGTGAGTCCCCAGACTTCCAGATCAATGTGTTTGTTTTGTTTTTTCAAACAATACTGTTCCTCCAGGGATATATTTCCACAGTTATTTTTTATTTAGAGCTTATTTGTTAATCAATTTTCCGTCTTAAAACATTTGATATGTGACCAATAGGGGTCACTGTGGAGCAAAGTTGACCGAATTACTGGCTCTTTTACTCACCCTCCCAATAGGAAAGAGGGAGGAATTGAATTCTCCGAAACCATACCTTCTTCTCAACTGGCAATTTTAGGGGCATGACTTTCCCTTCCACCTCTACTTCGTAGCTCCTCCCCCTCATTCCAGGGACTGGAATTTATGCCTAAGGCCTTTACAGGTTGATCAACCACACTAGACTACAGCAATGAGTTTTGTATTTTTTTTTTTAGCTCCCAGCAAAACAAGACCCAAGGACAACATAGATCATTTTCTCAGCTAGGTTAGAAGGTTTGCATAAGATCAAAAATTATCTTAAAATCACTACAGCTCAAGACCCCCAGTTACGATAATTCCCAATCTTCAGACAGACAGATTTGGATCTCCATCCTATTTAAATTATGTGATTTTTCTAATTAGCCCTTGTCTTCCACTGTTTCCTTTTTCTCAGCATGTATCAGTCAGTATACAACTAGTTCCCCACCCCAGAGCTCCACCAGCAGCCAGGGAGGCTTCAGTGCCTGGAGTGGAGCCACCCTGACTCGGGGGTGCACCCAGCCCGGCTGCCTGGGGAGCCAGAGCCAGAACCAGCTGGCTTGGGGGTCCTGTCACTAGCTCCAGGGAGTTGAATTTGCATAATGTAAATTTATGTAAAGCAAGAACTGTAATACACATTGCATGTTATAGTATTGTGGAGTTTTGTTTTTAAGGAAAGCACTCTCATATACACAAATTAAATTTAAAAAAATTTAAGGTACTTTAAAAAGCATAAAAACTTAGAAGTAAAATTCCTACCACTCACAAACAGAGGAAAAGAGAGGGTTGATACACACCACCAGTTTGGCAGCTTCTAGAAGAAACAGTTCTGCCACATTCTTTTGTAGGTGGAGCAGCCCTGGAGTAGAAGTTCCTATCACACCCTTTGTTAATCCCCGGTCCAAACATCCCACATTGTGCTGGTGCTGCTCTCTGGCTCTTCTGTCAGTTTTGTGGCAGGCTTCCACAGTCTAGCTGCCAGACTAAATGCTGTGTTGCGCCTGTACCCTTTCAAAACATGTAGGCGCAAGTGAAGTCCCTCTTCCAGCTTAAAGGCAATCTAATCTAATCTGTCTCAGTGCTGACAGGGATGCCTGTCCCTCTGAACTACACATTTTAGAATGCCAGTCAGATCTCAAACCTCTGTTATAGGTATAAAGACAATTATAACTCACCTACATGACATTGTTTATTATTGAAGTTCTGTCCACAGATACAGCATGTATGTAGGAGAGAGTCGGGGAAATAAAGTCATTGTGGGCCATGAACAAGTTTGAGTCATACAAAGAAAGGGCAAGGTTAGGTGAAACAATATTACTTAGGTGGGTGAGGAGAGGTGGATTTCTTCCTTAGGAGAAAAGCTTCCCTAAACTAACAAGGAAGCCGGACTAGGATGGGAGAGGCGTGGGACCTGAGGTGGTCTGGTTTTGGGTAATTACCTCAACAGCTTTATACCAAGGTTTGGATCATTATAGTGGAGCTTTGTTAAAACTGTGCTGCTTGAGGGCAGCATTAAGTAGAGTCCATCTGTAAAGAACTTCTTAGCAAGTCCAGTTGGTTAGATAAGAGCCCAAGATAAGAAAAAGCAAAGGAAAAAGATAAAAGCAGTTTTGATTAAAAAAATCAGTAAACATAAAATAATGAAATAAGTGAAAAGAAAACATATAGTCTTGAAGCATATACACATAACTAAGCAAGAAAGGAAAAATGTATTTCTTTGGTTTCAAGGTAAAGCTGAATTGCTTGACTACTCTTTCCTTTAACTTGTAACTCATGGGAAAAAAGGTATATATATTTAAAAGTTTTTCAGTAGAAGGGGCAGCTTGGTGGTGCAGTGGATAGAACACTGGCCCTGGATGCAGGAGGACCTGGGTTCAAATGTGACCTCAGACGTGTAACACTTACTAGCTGTGTGACCCTGGGCAAGTCACTTAACCCCATTGCCTAGCCAAAAAAAAAAGTTTTTCAGTAGAGTTGTTTAAAAATCAATACCTAAGTGAACCAGTGATTTTAGATCTCTGAATTAAATTTTGCCATTGATTGGTTGATAATATTTTCTGGTATTTAAAGATAATCCCCAGAAGAGAGCTGAGGAAGGAATTAATTATTGAGTATAGAAAGTGTTGAGGTTAGAGTTGGGAGACCTGATTCAGGTGTGAAAGAATTCACTTGGGCCTATCTCTGTAGTCATTGGTGATGAGCTCATAGTGGACCCCAAGAATATTGGGGTGCTACCTGAAATGATGAGTAGATATGCCTGTGTCCTGAATAAGATAAAAATTATCTTAAAATCACTATAGCTTTCAGTGTCCTGAAAGAATTCGCTCTGACAGTCTCCAAGTTAAAGAAAGGCATTTATTAGGGTGATGTACCCAAGCAGGCCTGCTCCCCCTGAGGCAGAGCCCCAATGGGCTCTACTCCACATGGGAGGCAGAGCAAAAGCCCCAGGCCCTGCTCCCCTAAGGGAACAGACCGGCTCCTACTTCTTGCAGAAGGCAAAGCCAGTTAGCTAGGTCAAAGGTATACAATTTTATGGAATAGAGGGAAGGGGACAAGAGAATGGGAGAAGTAAGCATGGCTCCAAAATGCCTGAGATATCAGGTAGTCCAGAGGTGATATACAAGCACACAGATAAAGTCCACGGTGGAGCCTTCGTTGCATAGTCTTCTTTGATCACTTTTCTGGTTGGTCACATCCTGCAATCCATCTGCCTCAAGCACTCTTTTCTACCTCATCATTAGTTTTCATTATTTTATCCGTTTCTGTATTTTGCTGTAACATATTTCATCATGTGTCCTGGCTTATTATTTCAATTCTATGTTGTATTATGTCGGTTAATATTAGTATTCCAAATATGAAATCTTAATAAACATAATTATAACTACTTTTTAGAAACAAATTTTTCCCTCTAAGGTCACACACTTCTATCTATATAATGGAAAAGCTAAAGAAATGAGATTCCCTATACATATTTTCATGTAATGTATTTCAAGAACTGCATTTAATGAATAAATTAAAATTGCTCTACATTTTATTTTTAACATGCTATAGTTTTAGATTACATAGTAGCATTAAAAAAGAAAAGAAAAGAAAAGAAGAGAAAGGTACCATGGTGTAGGAAGTGCATGGATTTAGGACCAGAAAACTTATTAACTATGTGATCTTGGGAAAATCACTTAAAATTCCTGGGCCTCAGTTTCTTCATCTGTATAATGAAAAAGTTGGACTATATTACCTTTGAGTAATCTATCACCTTATGATTTGAATCTTGGCTCTGCTGTTTGTTAACTGTGTCATTGGGGGCAGCTAGGTGGTACAGCAGATAGACCACCAGCCTTGAACTCAGGAGGACCTGAGTTCAAATCCAGCCTCAGACCAAACACTTGACCCTTTACACTAGCTGTGTGACCCTGGGTAAGTCACTTAACCCCAATTGTCTAAAAAACAAAAAACTGTGTCATTGGTCAGGTTTGTTAAATTCTCTGGGCCTTAATTTGTCATCCGTAAAATCAGTTGAAGATTAAACTGGATATTCTCCATGGCCCTTTCAGTTCTAAATCTATGATCCTAAGATAAATATTAATTTTAAATGGTGTCTTAGACTAACAACACTTCAGAACCAAGTTATTATAATAAAAACATTAAAATTGGTATGTTCTACCAGAATTGGTATGTTCTACCAGAATTGGTTCGTCCAACAGAAACAACTAAGTTAAGATATATAGTTCTTGATTGTGGGAAGATACCTAAGATTAAGATCTCTACCCCTAACCCCTGCTCCTCCCCTCTCAGACATACCACGGAGGCTTAAAGATGCACCACTCTAGGAAGAGAGGGAGAAAAAAAAAATCACCTTAAGACTCCCTAGCTCAAATCAGAAATCCACAGAAGGAGCTCTGGAGTCCTGCTGTGATCCTGCAATAGACAAGCCAGGATGCTTCATTCAGACAACACTGACCTTTCACTGAAGCCTGTGGCAGCCAGAGTGTTCTGGGTGGATCCAGTGTCACACTCCCTACCTGAGTCAAACAATCCCAGAGCCCAGCCAGAGGCTCCTCTAAGCCCATAATATGCAGTATTCCAGATAGGTGGTACTAGTGGCCAAATCCCAACTTTTGGGAAAAGACCCTAAGCACAGTGTAGCTATGAGGTACTCCACTAAGGGGAAGAGGGGAAACAGCTTGAGGGAAAGAGCCCAGCATCTAGTTAGAGCCAGATCTGTCCCCCAGCAGGGACTGAGCCTGATGTAGGGAATGAGGCTGGTGAATCTTGAATCACCCGTTGTGGGAGGTGGCTGAGACACCTCAGATTCAGTCCCCAGGGAAACCAACATTAAAAGTAGAAAAAGTCAGAAAGTGAGCAGTAGGCAAAAATAAGTCTGAAATTACCAAAGATTAGGAAGAAGGAAATTCACGGGCCTTGAGAATAAACAGATAAGCCTACAGAGAAGATATTAATAGCAGAAGGGAATATGATAATTGGATCAGATAAA